TGTTCGGCTCCGCCCGAACTTAGACTTTCTTACTTGTTTTTCTTAATTTTAATTCCTAATTTTCGAAAAACATATTAGTTTCTTTTTCCAATAAAATTTAGTACTTAATCTGTATGCATATATGTATGTANTTTTTCTTAATTTTAATTCCTAATTTTCGAAAAACATATTAGTTTCTTTTTCCAATAAAATTTAGTACTTAATCTGTATGCATATATGTATGTATGTACTATATGTAATTGTATTCTTCTTGTTGCATGTGGCAATTAAGCAAAAAATTGAGACAGTTGAACTGATCGAACTCATGTGTACCAAAATATGTATGTAATCTTATATTTTTCATTTCTGAATGTAAAACAAAATTGGCGTAAGCTAGAAAAGTCTTATAAAGTAAGTCGCGTACAAAATGTAAGAGTAATATGTAAAGTTTGCACAAAATCCGGGTACTACATATGAACATACATATATTGAACGAAATTTTGAACCTTGTAATGAATCCAGATGTACAAGTAGGAAACAAAATATCTATAAAAATATATTTATACAAGCGAAAGAGATAGAGAAAGCAACTAAAAATCAAAGTCTATTCAAAAACGTATTTGAAAATTGGTTATCTAAAAAGAATGAATAAAAAACAATCCATCAAAATGTATGTAATTGCAGTTGTGTAATTAAATAATATCGTAGATTGTTTGTAAAATTTCAATATTTTATTACAATAAATGCATATACTTAAAAATAATAACAAAAAAAAAAAACATAAAATAGAAAAACATAATTGGAAAAAAAAAACGTGAAGCTGAAGGAAATGCTTTCTCAAATTTAACAGAATGTATGAATTATATGTAGGTAATTACTAGGATATAAATTAACGTAAATGAGTTTGACTCAAAAATTACTAGCTCTTTTTTAATTATACGTGCTCGTTTCTATAGCAAAAAATGTAATGNAACGTATTTGAAAATTGGTTATCTAAAAAGAATGAATAAAAAACAATCCAGCAAAATGTATGTAATTGCAGTTGTGTAATTAAATAATATCGTAGATTGTTTGTAAAATTTCAATATTTTATTACATTAAATGCATATACTTAAAAATAATAACAAAAAAAAAAAAATAAAATAGAAAAACATAATTGAAAAAAAAAAAACGTGAAGCTGAAGGAAATGCTTTCTCAAATGTAACAGAATGTATGAATTATATGTAGGTAATTACTAGGATATAAATTAACGTAAATGAGTTTGACTCAAAAATTACTAGCTTTTTTTTAATTATACGTGCTCGTTTCTATAGCAAAAAATGTAATGTTTTTTTTTCAATATTAAAACTCTTAGTTCATTATGGAATTCGACCATTGAGATATCTACATATTTATGTATGTAAAACTATATTTTTCTATGTAATTTTTTTTTTATTTTAAGCTTTTCTTAAGTTTGTGTTTATAATACGTACTGACTTTTTTCTTCTTTTGTAAATGGAAGTTTTCTCTAGAATAAGAAAAAAGAAATGTAGTCGTAATGTAACGTAACGTGATTCGGTCGCAATCCCAATACCAAGAAAATGATAACGAAAATCGAAGCACCCATTCAGGTACCTAGTATATGTATGTATATGATAGGAAATGTATGATGTCTGATGTACGCGTATATCAAAATATTTATGTACGTATGTAAACTACTTTATATACCAATTTTATGTAAAAGTATTTTAAAGAATTTTGTATAATATTGTAGGTGATTTAAGAACTTTAGCATCTCAGTTATTATAATTTTTATTATTTTCCTTTTTATAACCGTAACATACATATATGTAATACACTAGTTTGAGAATTTATTAACTAAAACAAAGCTCAATTGAAAAAAATATACACATATACATAAAATTAAAAGAATTATAAGGTAGTGTGTTTTTTTTTAGTAATTCCAAAAGTCGAAAGCAGAGAGAGAGTAAGTACTTCCTATTAAAAACACTCAGGTCTACATATATGTAAGTCGTAACCTCTAATGCTAAAATCAATATAGAAGGTTGTCGACAATGAGCTAAGATCAAACACTAATCGTCACATACGATATCGTATTCACGAATGAGGTATACAAATCGAATCATTTACATGATTCAAAATTTTTTCCAAGAATATTGTACTTTGTAATTATTTCATTTATTTTTTACTCAGGCTCGTTTACATCATTTTGGTCGTTTTATTTTGACTTTTTTCCTGTGTTTACTAAACAACATTGATATTGTAATTATCAAATTCAATTGTTTTGGCGTAAAATTCGCTCTGCAATATCAGTAGGTCACGCGAGATGCCTACTTGCAACGCAGCTGGTTTATTTGTTGGAATTTTGGTCGGTATAGCCTTGGGTTATGCAATTTGGGAATGTGTGCATGCCTTCTTTCCAACGGCGCGAGGTACGACTGACTTGCGCGTAAGGGTACTACAAATGTCATTGCAACCACCACCTGGAGATTATGAGGAAGTTACACAATTAATAGATCTATATAATTTCTCGTACATCATGAATCAACACAATTGTACCGCAAATGTCCATGCACTGGTTCTTGTACCTTCAGCGCCGGTAAATCGTGATAGACGAAAGTTAATACGACAAACGTGGGCCAACTTCATTGAATTACCGCTGCACAAGAATAGTATACCATTTCGAGTGATCTTTCTGTTGGGTCTACCCGATACGGATGAAATGCAAGCCGAATTGGAACGTGAAAATTTCGAATACAATGATATGGTACAGGGTTCATTCTTCGACACCTATGCAAATATTACATACAAACATGTGATGGGGATGAGATGGTTTCTCGCGTACTGCAGTCATTCGAAAATTCTGATAAAAGTGGATGATGATGTTTTTCTGAATACACCGCAATTGATGATTTACCTGCACAACACTATGTTGCACAATGAGTTGTCTCTATCGCCCACCGCAAGCACCAGCACCACCACCCATAATCCTAGTTCTGCTAGCAATGCCACTAAATCGCCAAGATAGCTTTTTAGACGCCAACGTGATTAGTTGTTTTGCAATCGTAAGACGGGCGTACGTGTTCATCGCAGTTATCGTCTTAAGTGGCGTGTCACTTATAGCGATTATCCCAAATCTGAATTCCCTCCATATTGCCCGGGTTATGGTATCATTTATTCACCAGATGTTGTACAACGCTTATATAATGCAGCGCAGAAAGCCAAATTCTTTTGGATCGATGATATTCATATAACTGGATTTCTAGCTGGCAAACTAAATATAAGCATCGTTCCAGCGCAGAGTTATACGGTGGTTTGTACGTCTGGCCGACCAACGTGCGATGAATTACTTGATAGCTCGACAAACATCAATGAGCTTGAATTCTTGTTCT